GGGTCTGTGTATTTATTTATTTATGGTGCTGGGGATCAAACCCAGGGCCTTGTGCATGCAAGGCAAGCAGCCTACCAGCTGAGCTATAGACCCAGCCTTGGGTCTGTGCATATAATGTAATATGTATTGCCATGTTGTCCTCCAAAGAAGAAATAGTTTATGCTCTCAACAGCAAGGGAACAGATTCATGAAATCTTTGGGTTAATATCCCAAATGCTAGGCATTCCCTAAGAAATTCAGCAAGGAACTTAAAATAAAATATCACTCATCCTTGTCCTTTGAAGCCTTTTGACAGCCAACCCAGCACCATTCCTCGACTAGAGAGCTTCCCCTGGCCCTCACGCCCACTGTGTGCTGAGCCTTTTTCTCTCCTGAACTTGCTTGTGCCTGGCCCCTACAATCCTTGTTCTTTCTTTAAAGATAGCAGGTTAGGAGTTCTTTGCCAGTCAGGTACCCCTGATTGTCTCTCCAATGCTGGCGTGATTCTCTAAGATGTATTATCCAACCAGGACAGATCTCTTCTGAGAGGATCCCTGCCCTCTACTCAGAACAAGCTCTTTGTTAGTCACTTTTCCATGGATATCATCAAAGTACCTGACAAAAACAACTTAGTGGAGGAAAAATTTATTTTGAGCTCATGATTTCAGAGGTTCGGTCCATGGTGGGCCAACTCCATTGCTTCTGGACCCAAGATGAGACAGAACAGCATGGTGGACATCATAGCCAGGCAYGCTCACCTCGTGGTAGCCAGGAAGCAGACAGACAGCACAGGAACCAGGGACAAAATATATAATCCCCAAGGCATATAAACCCCTAGTGATCCACTTCCTCTAGCCATGCCCACCTGCCTACAGTCACCACCTAGCAATTCACTCAAATCATTAATCCCATCAAATAAACTAATCACTGATTAGAATAGAATTTTCACRAAGTAATCATTTCACCTCCTGCATTAACACGGGAGCATTGGGGGGACACTTAACATCCAAACTGTAATAGTGCTGTCGATTCTTAAGGGTAAATATGTGTTCATGGGTTTGCCCCTATTCAACTGTGAATTTCCTACCCAAGGACAGAGATGGCCTCATTCATCTATTATTTAGGCAGAGGCACCAAAGGCACAGTGACCATTTGTTGAATGAATGAATAAGCCAGGTGGAATTTGGTCAAACCAGTGCTGTCAAAGATCCCTCTATTTGAGAAATTAGATGTGTCTAATACACTCTGAAGGTCATATTTTCCTGCAATGTTTATTTCATCCATCTGGGGCATTTTTCAAAAAGCGTTCTTTTCTGTTTTCTTGTTCCCCCTTTGACCTGGTTAGAGTCTCAAGGGGGAAATTCATGATGGGAAATGGCCACAAACATGAAAAGGATGTGCAGACAGTTGCAATGATAAACACAGGACAAGCACACACACAGAAAGGAATAAATGTTGACATTGCAAGAAGACAGGGTGGGTGGGGGAGGGGAAGTCTGCAGTTTCAAGGTCTTGGGAGAGGGTAGTTGCAATCTGGCTTTCAAATGAATACAGTGTACCCCTCTAGCAATTCCTTGCTCAAGATTTTCTTTTGAAATCCCAGTTTTCCCATCTGTTTTGCAGTTTTCTCAGGATTTCCTCCTTTAAAGCTCATCTTCTTAACCATTTCAACAGAAATTTTCCCAAATCCCACATTTTCATGGCTTTGAGACTCAGGGTCTCAATCTATGATTGATCAAGAAGGCAGCAGAGAGTAGTCTGGGAATCAAACATATTTAGAGTCAACTTCAAGATCTGCTTGTTATAAACAGTGGGACCTCTGTTAACTCCCCCACCCAACCAACTTTTTGTTTTGAAATTTTTCAAGCCAACTGAAAAGTTGCAAGGAATGAACAGCCAGAGATGAGGGTTTGGCAAGCATCAGTCTGAGGCCTGTTTTTTTGTGTAACCCGTGAGTGGTTTTTGCATTTGTAAGTAGATGGAAAAAAATTTTTAAAAAAGGAAAAATGTTTCATAACACATGAACTTTATAGGAAATTCAAGTATCAGGGTCCCTCAATAAAAGTTACCCACTTGTTGATGCACTGCTTTTTCTCTGTAATAAGAATTGAGTAGTTGTCAGAGACCCTGGTTTTCTAAGCCCAAAATACTTTTCTGGCCCTTCGTAAAATACGTTTGCCAACGCCTGACCTAGACTTACCAATTGTTAATATTTTGTCCCATTCGTTTTTTTTCTCTCTTGCTGAAACATTTGTCTTAGTTTTGAAACTTCACCCCCCAAATACTTTTGTGTTTGTTTCTTAAACTTAAAGCTGGGTGAACAGGTTGAATGTGAGGAGAGACACAATGCTATAAAGTGTTCAGCACACAGTGCTTGGCACATAGACAGAACCTAATAAACAATGCAATAAAAATTCCTGGCATTTCTCACAGATGGGGTTGCCAAAACTCCCAAGCTGAGAATCCTGAGCCTCGTAAAGTGCTTCAGTTGCCACAGCTTGGAGGCCAGCTTTTCCTCTGAAAGAGCTTCTTACTGGAGGAGTAAAAAAAAAGCTCCAGGAAATCTCATTTTTTCCATAGCTTGTGGCTTGGCTGACTCAACTTCTGCCTTTCCCTGAGTCACAAGTTTTTCCTCTTATTTGAAGGAGCAAGGCYCTCCACCCAGGTCTCCCCACCCATAGCCAGTCCCCGTTGGGAAGAGGGTGGACAGCTGCAGGATCTGTTTATGCTGCCTCCAGGGGATTTCCCAGAACTCCACTCAGATCCACAGAATGTCAGTTGGAAAGGAGGATAGATGAGGAGTCTGAGGCCCCAGTGGGCCCTGAACCACTAATGAGGGGTCTCCTGACTCCAGGACCAACAGGTATGCACCTTCCCTCTAGTTTTCAGAATCATGAAAAGCTTGCCTTTTCTAGACACTCCCTCTGTGGCAGGCACAGTGTTAGATGCCACATACCATTAGAAACAAGGTAGCCCTGTCTTCACAAGGGACCAACTCCCTCTATTCTCATGGCCACCTCCACCCCAGGCACCTTCACCTCTCCCTAAGGACACCCTTCCCTTGCAAGGGAGGTGGGGAATCTGAGCACCGAGGCAGCCCTCAAGCATGGCCTTGAAGGCTAGCCTGAAGTCCCCTCCACACAAGCAGTGTGTACATTTGGGACAGCACATCCTCGTGTTTCAATGTCCCAGCTACCCTCCTGGTTATAACCCAGGCTGAAGGGTTTCAGACATTGTCTCTTTCTCCTCTGCATGATGGACAGGTCCAGCTACATCACTAGGACTCATGAATTCAAATGCTTATTCACAGGGAGTACATGAGTGGGTAGAGCAGGCTGAGGGGGAAACCACAGAGGTTGGTAGGACTGTTGTGGATGGGGGAACACAAACCCCATCTGGGGACAGCTTGCTATGGAGATGACAACCAGCATTTTTAAACCCTCTCATTTTAGAGAAGATGGAAATCCTAATTTTTATGTGAACTCTACCAATATGAAATGGCAATGAATGTTTAAATGTTTAAATATTTTGCAGGACAGAAAGAAAGGTGATTGGATCACGATCATCCCATGGTCTACCTACAACACTATGGCTTCTTTTGGATGCTCAGTACAGGCTGTACTTGCTGATGAAGGTAATGGCAAGGGTGGAGGGCAGGGGATCAATGAGGGAGCTCTCCAAGGCCACAGYTGGTGGCTTTCTCACTTGCTTATCACCTCCTTTCCTCCTCTTTCTCTTGACCTCCTCCCTCTTCCTCCCCTCCCCACTTTCCCTTCTCTGGGCAGCACTGAGCCTCCCTCACAGCCTCACCCAGATCTCCAGGGAGAGCTGGGCACCTTGCTCCTGCCTGCTAGCTGCCCTCAAGGATGGAGGCCCAGCTGAGAAGAGAGTCTGGCCACGGCACCAAGGTCCTGGAGCCAGATCAGCTCTTCCTCCAACTGTCACCTCTTGCTCTTCTTCCAGGTGCCCAGGCTCTGTCTTATTTGACAACACAAACTAGAGGGAAAGAACAGACATTGAGCCTTCCAACTAAGGGCTGAATCTCAGCCCCGGAGAGAGGAGTGAGCAAGGTGTCCCTGGGGCTCATAGCCAGGTAGGGAAGACAGTCCACAAACATGTAAACAAGTGACCCCCAAACATGACTTCAGGTTGGGGAAAACAACAACAACAACAAAATAAACAAACACAGACAACTACCTGAGGTAGTGGAGGGTAATGGGTGAAGCAAGGAACTGCGCTAGGAGCCAGGGAAGCTTCTCTGAGGAGGTGCCAGTAAGACCTGATAGAGGCAGAGGAAGCGCAAAGGGCCTTGGAGGTGGGAGAACCCTGAGGCTCTGAGGAACTGGAAGAAGCCAGTAGGAGGGGTGAGTTGGGAGGAGGCCACCAGCAGGCTGAGAGACRTGCCTCCTGAGGCCTTGTCATTTCATTTTGAGTGTCTGCAGAGGCCAGGAAGCGGGATAAACAAGGAGTGGCCTAACTTGCTAACGTTCAGCTGCGTGTGATGGGTACACGGAGACCACCATTCCTTCCTTCGGTGTTTGAAATTTCCCACTATAAAAAAGTTGAGTTTTTAAAAATGCTGCTGGTTTTTAATATTATGATCATCTCTCAGGGTTACTGGGGAAAGACGACTAYATACAAGCTTCGAAGCGCAGAGAACGACCAGCGGCATCATGATATTGCCCAAACGAGCTTCTCACTCATTCGTGCCACCAGTGTCCCATCCCTCATTACCCAGCGATGAGGGCCCCTCTACATCCGGGCGGGGAGCCCTGGACTGAGTCTTCAGCAGGGTGCCATCTGTCCGAGTGTGGAGTGAGGCGACACGAAGAAAGGGAAACTGGTGAAGTGGGGGTGCAAACGGGGAAGCCGGCCCCCAGGACCTGCCTGCCGCGAGCGCTGACCGCAGACCAAGTTGCACACATTTCTCGGAGACTCGCGCTGGCTCCGCCCTCGTCTGTGCTCCGTGGCTCCGATAGGTCGAGCTRCCCGCGGGAGGGCGTGTCAAGGGAGTTGGAACGCCGAGGCATGGGCAGCGAGGCAATTGGCCGGAGCTGGCCAGCCCAACCCAGCGGCAGAGAGGGGACTGGCGGGCCGGGCTGCTGGGCCATCTCGCTGCRGGGCGCGGGGCGTGGGGCGCGCGGAGCCCCGGGCCGAGGAGGTAAGCCTTCACCCAAACCCCGGCCCGGTTATGGCTTGCGGAGTAGGTGGGCTTTCCTCCAGTCGCCTTCATGCTGTTTGATTCCCGGGGCTTAGGCGGGCGGGGCACGGCGCGCATCCAGGGCTCCTCGGACTCTGGCCCGGAGCAGAGGCTCACTGTGGCTTGCAGGGCAGGGCAGGGCAGGGCTTGTGGCCTCTCCACAGTTGAGGGTGAGGGCAGGTAGGGTACGGGTGGGGGGGAGGCAGCGTTGCGGGAGGCATGAGAGTTGGGGCGTCCCAGCGCACCCTGGTACTGCAGGAAATCTCGGTCTGGTCATGTTTTGCCAAGTTATGTCCTCATGCCGCCTTTGCGGCCGCACTTCTTGACCTCGATCTGAGGGTTCAGGAGACGTGGCTGGGACTGCTACAGGGGTGGACTTCGGGGTGGGATGGGAGGAGAGCAGAGTGACAGTGCTTTCCAGCCYGTCCGGGTCCTCGCTGGCCTCATATTTAGGAGACAGCTGGCCCCTGACGGGTTTGGGTTTGTGACTCTTGGTGGGAATTGTCAAAGGAAGTTATTGAGGCAGACCCACAGAGGCAGAAATGGCCTGGGGAGTCTGCTTTCCTTTCTGTAGAACACGTGAAGGATAGGGGAGATGTGTCACCAGCCCTCTTTGCAGGTGGGAAAACTGAAATTTGGAGTCACCCTGAAACTTTTTCTCCACTGCCGGAGGGAAAGGCTTTTGGAATTTGAACAAAGCTGTTATCTCACCAGCCGGAGGGTGGAGGTCAGGATGGTGGAAGGATTAGTACTGGGGTCAGCCTCTGCTTGGCAGGTAATTCCCACTGACGTTTGTGTCAGCTGAGATGGCTGACTTCAGCCTGCATCCGGCCTATCCTACCAGGGCTGCCAAGACAGGGACAAGGCAGCACAGCAGAGCAAAGGGACCTCTGCAAACCGACCTGTCCCAAGGAAGGAAGGGGGTTTTGCCAGTGCGAGCTGGAGGGTAGGACAACCCAACCAAGCTGATGAACCTTTTCAGGTGTGTGTGTGTGTGTGTGTGTGTGTGTGTGTGTGTGTGTTGAGAATGGAAAAGTCAGGCATCTGGAGAGGAGCCCCAATCTCTGGACTTCAGGATTTCTGATTCTGTCTTGATTGAAAGCACCCTTCAGCAGTTCAGGGCTGTTTTGGCCAATTTTAATTTGGGCTCCCTGGCCACTCACAAGGACTTTGGGCAGTGATGGTAGTACCAGTGGGTGGTACTTCTCTGACTGGCCTTTTGTGAGGATTAAATAAGATAATACATGTAATGTRCTTAACTTGTGCTTGGCAAGCTGTAGGCACTGCGTAAACGGCACCTTCAGTTCATTTTCCTTATTACTAGTCTTTTCCTGGAGAACTTTCTAGAAAGCACAGGGCTGGACAAAGCTGAGGGGCAGCCCCTCTGGAAGGAGAGGAAACTTGGATCTTGGGCCTCCCCTCATGCCCTTGGAGAAAAATCAAATCCTCACCTTGATCTGTAGGCCTGCAGGATGACCCCTGCTGGCCCCTGCCAGCCCCTGCCACCTTACATTTCACCCTGGCCCCATTGCTTCTTCCTCTGTGGCTCTCTTACTCTCCACCTTGAGCTGTTTCCTATAACTAGAAAACTCTTCTCAGATCTTTGACTTTGACTGGCTTCTTCCTTATATTCAGGTTGCAGTGAGGTAACTTCCTCACAGATCTTTCCTAATCCCCACCTGCCCCAGTCCCTCYGCAGAACCTTTTCTGCATAGCACTTAGCACTGGCTCTCAGAAAACACCTTGTGGAGTCACTTCTAGTCTGGCTTCCCCACCAGGAAGTACATTATTGAAGGGCCTGGTCTCTAACTCCCTGCTATAAGGGATGCCTAGTATAGTGCATGGCACTTGTAAGATATCAGGACACATCACAAAGTAATGTCAGGTGGGGTGGGCCTGACTGGGGCTGAGGTCCCTGGAGGGAAAGTGGGGCCCCAGTCAGGAAGCCCAGAGAAAGACCAAAAGGCTAYTACTTTCCAAGGTTTCGGGCCCTCAGACATCTCTCAGTAATCTCAAAAACTATATCCCAAGTGGGCAATAGGAGAAGATGGGTTCCATCAGGACAGAACCCAGTGTGGTTTATCGGGTAGATCCTTGGAGTAGGTATGTTATGCATTTTATAGTATGTGGTGGTATAAATTAGAGAGAAGCAAACCTTTTCCATAAAGGTCCAGACAGTAAATATTTTTAGGTTTTGCAAGCCATGCAGTGTGTTGCACATGGCCGTGTTCTAAAACAACTGTATTTGGAAAAGCTGCCAGAGGACCAGATTTGGTATGGATTTTCAGTTCCCCATTTTAGATTTCTCATCACTCTTCAACTATCATGCACAGAGCGCTAGCCACACAGAATCCACAGCCATCCTGTGACTCTCAGGATGTGGCTCCCAAGCCTAGCACTCACTGTGAGCACCTTCAGCCCTTGTTAAAGTGGTGGGATCACAGAGCCCAGAGCCCCCACCCTTCTGAACCTCCAGGGACGATGTGGGTCTGCTCATTGCCCTGTCTACCAGACTCCCTGACCCTGCAGCAGTGTCAGTCCCTCTGTCAGTGGCCTGGGTGCCAAGCTGGGGTTGGCACAAGTATTTTCCAAGGCCCAGATGCTGCCAGAAGGGTCCGTTTTCATTGTCTTCCTGAGGCCGACTTGTCCTAAGTGAATGGGACAGGACTCAGCTCTCTCCTCCTCTATCCTGAGGGTGGTTTACTTCTCTGGCAAGAACAATATAAAAGAGGATTTCCCATCTGACTCAGGGCTGCCTATTTACCAAGAAAAGCCTTCAGGTCACATCTAACCAGTGCACGAAACTACGGTTGCATTAGGAGTGTGGGCAAATGTTGGGGAGCCACCAGGGAGGACATAGTCTGCCTGGTCCCCTGCCCAGCCTCAGACCCTCTGTAGGCTCACAGAGGAGAGGGGCATGAGACCCCTCTGGCTGCTGTGTTCAGTGTGTGGGGACAGGACAACTTGGGCCCAGGCCCCTTTCATCCAGCACCAGATAATCCTGCCCTTCATGGCCCACATTTTGCTGCCAGCAGCTAGACACCTCTGCCCACAGCTCTGCCCTCCCCGAGTACTGCTCTTCACTTCCTCTGTGGGCTGTGTCTGTGGGAGGTGGACCTGGGCAAGCCAGCCTCTGGAGTGCACCAATCCCCACAGGGCTGGGTAAGAGCCTCCTGTCCTCCAAGCTCAGAGCCACTCTGACTCCACGCTGAATGTGCTAGGCTTTGTTCTAGAGCGGTGGCAGGGTTCTGCTGGCACCAGGCTTCTTGACACACCAGGGTACTGGGGGRAAACGTGGTCTTCCTTCTTCAGGGCTCCTGGCATCTCCCACAGATGCCTAGGTCCCCATGCTGTGCCATCTCCTTGCCAGACTCAGCCTAGTGTCCCGTTGAGAGGCCTGCCTGGCTCCACTCACTGTCTCCAGCCTGTAGAGCCCAGAACTTGATCCAGATGTTGTCCTATCATTTTATTCTTTTGAAGGACTTTAAAATTAAAATGAAAAAAAAAAAAGAAATGTTTTTACTTTCTGGAATTGATGGGTATTGGATTTCATCACATTTGTTGCTGCCTTTTTCTAACAAAATAAATAAAACACAGATAAAGGTGAAATCCTATGTGAGGACACCCCCACCCCATTCCTGGTCACATCTAGATCCCCTTCCCCAAGGTCACTTTCTCCTGGCCTTGGTTTCATTTTACCATCTTAATCATTTTTAAATGTGTGGTTCTGTACTGTTAAATATTTCCACTGTTGTGAAAAAAATGAACTTTTTCATCTTTTAAAATTGAAACTCTGGCCCATTAGAAACTCCCACAATGCCCATGACCCCTGGCAACCGTTTTCTGTCTATCAATCTGACCACTTTAGATACTTCATCTAAGTGGAATCCTGCAATATTTGCTATCTTATCACTATCTTATTTCACTTCATATCTTCCAGATTCATTCATGCAGTAGCATGCATTAGAATTCCCTTCCTTTTTAAAGCCAAATAATATTCCATTATATGTATGGACCACGTTATGTTTACCCATTCATCTGCTGAGGGCACTTGGGTTGCTTCCACTTCTTGGTTATTGTGAATGATGGTGTTGAGTATGGGAGTGAGATATTTCTTCAAGTCTCTGCTCTCAGTCCTTTTGGATAGAAACCCAGAAGTAGGATTCCTGGATCAGATGGTAATTCTATTTTTAATTTCTAGAGGAACCTCCATATTRTTTTCCACAGACGCCACACCAGTCTGTATTCCCACCACAGTGCACAGGATTTCCAATTTCTCCACATCCTCACCACCACTTGTTATTATTTTTTTTAAATAGTAGCCATCCTAATGAGGCTCCCTACCATCTGTTTTTATTCTCATGCATTTTTAAAAAACTTTTTAGATGTTAAAGAAAACATTCAGCATTTGGTTTTTTGGGATTGGTTAAATAGTGGGATAGGAAGAAGAAGCATGGGAGGAACAGATGAACTCTAGATAGGGCAGAGGGGTTGGAGGGGTAGGGAGGGGGCATGGGGTTATTAATGATGGTGGAATGTGATGATCATTATTATCCAAAGTACAGGTATAAAGACACAAATTGGTGTGGATATACTTTGTATGCAACCAGAGATATGAAAAATCGTGCTCTATATGTGTAATAAGAATTGTAATGCATTCCTCTGTCATATATAAGTAAAAAAATAAATTAAAAAATTTTTAAAAAGTAACTTATGCATGTCTGGCAAAAAAACAGTCAAACAACTTTTTAGATGTTATGCAGCTTCTGCACACCTGGCGTCCCATGACATACACTGTTCTGAAGGTTCCCTTTTTTCACTCTTTATGTGTTGCCATTAGCTCATTTTGATCTGCGTATTCATTGTTTGGATAGACCTTGCTCRTAAGGGCCTTCAGTTGTCTCTGCCACACAGTAGTCACTGTCCTTTTTGAGTCTCCCTCCTCTGCTCTATTCTGACTCATTTATGTAGAGAAATTATCCAAACATCCCAGGGCTCCCAGCCCACAGCCTGGTGGAACTTGGAGGTGGCACTCTGGAATGTTAAGAGATATGGTTCTTGTTTTTGCAAAATTGTCCATCAGCCAGGGATCTGGTGCTCAGTCATGGCAGGATGGCTCAGAGTGTCACTGATAATCCTCTAGGTTTGCAAACTAAAAATAGCAGTTCTTATATAAGGTGGTGTGGGCAGCACTTTTCAGGGCATCTTGTGACCTGAAGAGGCAAGTAAAACATGGCTCAAGGGACCCAGCATTTCTTCTTGCACAATGCCTCCAGCCCCCATATTGAGGCCCTGCTCTGGATTCCCACAGGTGGTCTGACTTATAGAATTGCAGCTTGGTGACTCAGAAATAGTATGTTTGTGATCAGCAAGGCCAAGGACATGCATATGAGGTTAGCTCTCATCTGCTTCCCCTGCAGTTGAATCACATGTAGTGGTCTTCAGGAGCTTTAGAAAGGTTGAGTCATTTGCCACTCACTTATGAAGTACTTACTGTGTGCAAGGACACACTTTCAAGAATTGGTGACACAACAGTAAACAAGAAAAGTCTTCTTATGGAGCTAAAAATTAAGTGGGAGACACAGAAAATACATAAGCAAATAATGAATAGACAAGAAAAGACCAGGTCCTGATGTGGAGACAAAATAATAATAGTAATGATGATAATGGCATCAGTGAACTTTTTCTGTAAAAGGCCAGACGGTAAATATTTTAGGCTTTGTAACCATATGGTCTCTATCACCACTACTCAACTCAGTCATTGCAGCATGAGAGCTGCCATAGACCATGGCGGATAAATGAGCATGGCTGTGTTCCAATAAAATTTTATTTATAAAAACAGGCTGTGAACCAAATTTAACCCTCAGACCACAGTCTTCCATTCCCTGTCCTTGGCTGGAGGAGAGGCTATCTGAAGTGGGGTTCAGGGAGAACCTTTCTGAAAGGGGTTTAGGAACTAAGAGCTGGTCACAGGAAGAAGCTGATATGGTACGGTCTGTTCCAGACAATAGCATCTTGCTGTCAACACAGTGGTAGCATTGTGTGCTGACTTGGCCAGATTTGCAAGATGAAGATGATGAGGATCACTCGTGGGTTGAATGTTCATGGTACAAAGGAAATTAAAGACTGAGTTCTAGATTTGGATTTTGAAACACAGGTGAATGGTGATTCCAACTATGAAGAAAAGCTGAGAGCAACAGGCTTTGGGGRAAAACTGAGCTGAATTTGAGGAACTTATTAGATGGACAGGAGGAAATCCATGTTTATAGCTCAGTCAAGAGGCCAGGACCAAAGGCTTGGCCTAGAGAGTGACAGCATTCAGCTGGTCTTCAGAGCTATAAGTCTGGTGGGCTCAGAGGGAAGGTGTGTGAATGGAGCTGTGATGAGCTCCCAGGCCACCAACACTTAGTGTTTGGTGCATGAGCACAGGGGCTCGGGTGGTCTTTACACCCCATGGTGGAAGGCTGGGTGTGGTGCCAGATATGTGGCCCCCCACTTACTAGCAATCTGTTTCCCTCCTATAAAGGTAAAGGTAACCTACCTTCTAGGGTTTGTATAAGAACTGAGATAAAGTCATGCTTGGCACAGAGGGAGCACTCAGCACCTGGTACCTGTGATAATGGTGGTAACCACTGAACACCCTGAATCAATGAGGCAGTTGCAGGTCTGTGATTGGTTGGGATCCCAAACACCATGTGCCTGGGATGCATTGTTCCAGTATGTGTATCTGCATCCTTCCAGCTGAGAGGCAGCCCCAGATGCCCTGGGAACAGCAGACAGGAGTTGGGTTCACTCTCCCAGGTTCTTAGTCTTTTGTCCCTGGGTGGACCCTATTGAAGCATGTTCACCCTATCTTCTAAGATCCCCCAGTAGGCACTGATCCTCCATTGCCCACAGCAATAGCCTGCTTAGTAGCCCATTCATTGCTGCCTTCCATCCCTGACTGGCCTTTATAGTCCTCTTATTGGGGAATTCCCCTTCACCTCTGGATAATTTCTTTTCTTTCTTTCCCCCCCCCTCCCTCTTTTTTTGGTACCAGGAATTGAATCCAGGAGTGCTTAACCACTGAGCTACATCCTCAGCCCTCTTTTTACTTTTTATTTTGAGGTAGGGTCTTGCTAAGTTGCTTAGAAACTTGCTAAGTTGCTGAGACTGGCTTTGAACTTGTAATCCTCCTGCCTCAGCCTCTACTCCTCAGCTGGGATTACAGGCATGAGCCATCATATGCAGCTACCTCTGCATAATTTCTTATACTCCTCATATCAGGGCTGGCTTCTGGGGTGGTGAGTTTCTATGGTTGGGTGGCTAGACAGGCGGGCTTGCTGGGGCCCAGTAGGACACTAAGTTGTCTGGTTTGATGAGTTGAAGGTGAGCAGTGTGGTTCTGATCCTCAGTACCCAAATATAGCTATGCCTGGGGATGCTGATGCCTCCTTGTCTGTCTCCTACAGCTGAGCCACTGGAGAAGATGGTGGACCACTTGGCCAACACAGAGATCAACAGCCAGCGGATCGCAGCAGTGGAGAGCTGCTTTGGGRCATCAGGGCAGCCACTGGCCCTGCCAGGCCGGGTGCTGCTAGGTGAGGGCGTGCTGACCAAGGAGTGCCGCAAGAAGGCCAAACCACGCATCTTCTTCCTCTTCAATGACATCCTGGTGTATGGCAGCATCGTGCTCAACAAGCGCAAGTACCGCAGCCAGCATATTATTCCACTGGAGGAGGTGACGTTGGAGCCACTGCCAGAGACCCTGCAGGCCAAGAACCGCTGGATGATCAAGACAGCCAAGAAGTCCTTTGTGGTGTCAGCTGCCTCCACTACAGAGCGCCAGGAGTGGATCAGTCACATTGAGGAGTGTGTGCGGCGGCAGCTGCTGGCCACAGGCCGCCAGCCCACCACAGAGCATGCAGCACCCTGGATCCCTGACAAGGCCACGGACATCTGCATGCGCTGCACACAGACACGCTTCTCGGCCCTAACCCGGCGCCACCACTGCCGCAAGTGTGGCTTCGTGGTCTGTGCTGAGTGCTCCCGAGAGCGCTTCCTGCTACCACGCCTCTCACCTAAGCCGCTTCGGGTCTGCAGCCTCTGCTACCGAGAGCTGGCTGCCCAGAAGCGGAAGGAAGAAGAGGCAGAACAGGACAGGGGCTCCCCAGGACAGCTGGCCCACCTGGGTGGGGCTTTCTGTGGAGCATCCAGTGGAGATGACGATGACTCCGATGAGGACAGGGAGGGCAGTAGGGATGGTGACTGGCCCAGCCACGTGGAGTTCTACACTTCAGGTGTCTCCTGGTCAGCCTTCCACAGCTGACCCTGGCCTGCAGAACTTTTTTATCCAAGCCAGCTCCATTGCTCAGACCCCTAAGAGGTCAGTTCCTGAGCTGCCTGGCACCCTGGGCCCTTGCCCCATGGTGGGCAGAGGTAGGGATGGCTCTTTCCCTCGGGATTCCCAGTGCCTTTTTGCTGGACATTGGCATTCCCTTAGGCCCACTCAGTTCTACTTTCCATTTAACAAGCCCCAGAACACTTAGACCTCTTAGGAATAAATGCCATTTTCAACTCTACGTGCTACAGCTGCAGCTTYGGACAATCCCTTGAATTTATATCACCTGGAGTGCCCCAGACATTTAGGGACCAGAGAGGGATAAAGAACACAAAGGGAAAACAGGATGATAGTGAGGGTCCACTGCACTAAGGCCTGAGCTGCAGAACCTCACCCTAACACCCTTGGACAAGCCTACCCCAAGGAAGAGCATGAATCTAAGGAATGCCTTCAGGAAACCAAGGCCTGCCCACCAGCATGCTGGTGCCCACCTGGCCCTGCCAGTCCAGGTGTGGGTACTCACCTAAGCCAGGCAAGAGAACTGCTGCCTAGGGCAGCCTGATAAGGACTCTGCCTGTCTTCCTTCCTTCCAGTTCTTTATATCCTGTCCCCATCTCTCCCTGCAGCCAATGAAATTAGTGTTTTCTGTTAGAATTCTTCCATTGCAATGACGGAAACCCTTTCCAGACTGACTTACTAATAAAAAGGTTTACTGACTTACGTGATTGCAAAGGCCTTGTTTCAGACATGGCTCAATTGGGGGCTAAAACAATGCTGGGGGTGGGTGGCAAAAATCAACAACTGTCTACCTCGCTGGGCACCCTGGGAATGCTTGCAGCCCTGTAGAGACAGACATTCACACTACACTTTGCCCCGGTGAGTTCTCCAAGGACACAGACCCATCTGGGTGCTGTGACCGTGGCCCGGTGCCCATAGCTCTGTAAACTTTGGTGTAGATTATCTCAATGGTTGGACTAAAGGAAACAAGGAGCCATTTGTCTGGCTCTACCTCTCTCCCATGCATTCTCCTCTCTGGCCACTGGAGGTGGTGCCATCTAATGAGGAAACTGAGCCCCGAGTGCAGCTACTAGCCTTGCTCAGAGTGAAGTGAGCCTGAAAATTTAATGCCAACCTCCTGATACCTGATCCAGACACTGGCAGGAGCTGCAGGGCCTTTAAGACAGACTCCTGCAGATTCCTGTGTGTCAGTCTTTCCCCAGTGCCTCTTTGACTTCTCTTAGAGTGGGGTCCCTGTCAGCTACAAGTGGTGACTTTGGGGTTGGAAAAAGCTACTCCCAGCCCACCAAGCTTGCTGTTGAAACCCCACCATCTGTTTCCCCAATGCAGTGTGTCCTCTCTGGGCCGGTTCTCACATATCACATGCAAACAGAGCCTCAAAGGTCAAGTTGGTGCAGATTCTGATTCAGCAGCTCAGGCCCAGCTCCCATGGACCATATTGGGACAGTAAGGCCTGCTGTTGACATGCAATCACACTTTGGGGTGGGGTTCACCCAGCACTTGCCTGTGACCCTCCCTATATTGGCAGAGTGACCAGGTTTGGGGGAGGCTCAGAGGAGCTTCCAAGAAGGTCTTGTTTATTTGCAGGCCCTTTCCCTCTGTGGCCTCTCTCAACCACACAGACTGGTTCAGGCTGTTCTGCCTAAGCAGACGGCACGAGGCCAGACAGGTCACAGGGTAAGAGGCAGCTTCCTGAAGACACATCTGGTGCTCTTAGAAATCTAGGTCAGGCAGCCCCACCCCTTCCCCCTGGACTGGTGGCAGGGTAGGGGGTATCAGCTCTAGTACTGGCCTCTGGTTCACAGCCCCACTCCCCTGGAACCTCTCTTGTCTGGAAACCCTCAGGATCTAAAGGGCAGGAAAGGGGATGGCCCACAGCTGATCTCAAGCACCACCAGCCTCCTCCACTTGCCTGCCAAAGTGGTCACAGTGTCAGGACCCTGGGCAGGCAGGACAAGCTGGCTGAGTGCCATGTGGCACTACAGGGTCTGGAGTTGGAAAGTGCTGGCTGGGCCCTCAGCCCAGGATTCAGGCCTGTTTCCTTCTCCCAATGGACAGGGTAGAGCTGCTGCTTCCCTGAGCTCCAAGGCATTGGGGTCTTTAAGGACACAAGGACTCAGGATGGCCAACAACCTTTGGAGAGCTCTCATTCATGGTGACTTGCTTATTGATGTTTGCTGTAGGCCCTACCAGGTGGTAAGGACACAGCTATGAGTGAGATGGATGAGGTCCTGCCTCTCAAGGCTCTTTGGGCATAGAGAGGAGTCAGGCACAACACTCAGGACAGTGTAAGTACCGGGTGCAGGGAGGAGGGGCAGTACTCTGAAGAGCTGAGGTCACAATGACTAGGAAGAAAGGGGTGATATCATTTGGAGAGATGTTGTTAAAGGCAGACGGAATAGCAAGTGTGAGGGCTCTGAGGACGGAGCCCTGTATTCTGGAGCAGTGTGGCTGGAGTTGGGGCCAGAGAGTGGTAGGGCCAGCTTGGGGGAAGCTTTTGAGAGTCTGCCCTAATACTGTGTGCAGATGGACGGGGAGGAGAGAGTGGAGATGGGCACTCATGGGGACCCTGTGGCCTTGAACTTTCCCTGGAATTACCAAAGGGGGAGACCACACTCCATCAAGGCCACCTCTGCAGCTGTTTCTGCCTGTGGCAGTGGACAGAAGGCCTTAACTGTCCTCCCTTCTGTCCTCAACTCCTCCTAAAGGGTTGGCCCCTGTTCAGTTATGCTGAGATGTTAAAAAAATATATATATCTAGCCTCTTGGGTGACAAAAGAGGGAGTGCTAGAAAGCAAAATGACTATTAGGGCTGGATGTTTGCTCCGGGCCAGTGTGAAGTGGAGTGATGATCAGTGGCCCCAGCCTGTGAAGCAGAGAGGGGACCATACTGGCAGGAAATCGGCTCCTCTTGAAATATAAGCTGTGGACCCACCATATGAGCCTGGGAAARAAGGCACTGCCTGAGACTGTCTCCAAGTCCTAACAGGTTTGTTTTCCTAAAGATAATTTCCTCAGCCAGCCTATGTCAAGGGTCAGGCCAGCCTCTCCCTGTTTCCAGAGAGGGGTGTACCTCTGGGAGCAGATGCAAACAGCTTGCTTTGGCCAGACAGTACAGGTGCTGGGCCTATCTTGCTGGTGGGTGTCATTGTCAGTAGCATTCTCAGGTGGGGAAGGTCATGTGAGGTGCTGGGAGTTGTCCTTAGTCAAGGCCACACAGCTGACTTTTCTTCTTGGCCACCACCCTGCCCSTAGGCCAAGGGGGATCAGGGGTGCTCAGGATGGACTTCAGTACCTCTGCTCATTACAGATGTTCACTTTCCCTAGAATGGAGCTCTATGACTGGCAGGAGCACTRGGCCTGCTGGGCAGGATCCAGGTCTGTCTCTGCTGCCTGGAGGCTTTCCTGCAAGGCCTGGCGAGGACACAGGAACCAACTGTCCTGCCAGCTAAGTTGTCSCACCCACCACTCTCAAATCTGTCCTTCCAACTGTGCACCGATCTATGTCTCTGCCAGAAGTCGATCCTTCTTGCAGGCAGCATCAGATCCCTGGAAGAGGCCTGCTTTGCCCTGTCTCTTGGAAGAGGCAGAGGGACAGGGGAGAGGGTCTGAGGGCCAGGCCCAGGTATCTGAGGGGCATTGGAGCCCCTCTGCCACCACCTGCTTGACCATTACCTGAACTGCCCTTGCAGGAAGAACCAGCCCAGATGGGAGGAGCAGCTCCAAGTGGAAAATGAAGTGGCAGCTGTGGCCCCAGGACATTTGGGGACAGGTGGCAGACAGGCCTCCCTTTAGAGTTCAGCAGGGGAGCAATGTTTCTGCAATACTCAAAGGGAGGGGGCTGGGGATGTGGCTCAAGCGGTAGCATGCTCGCCTGGCATGCGTGCGGCCCGGGTTCGATCCTCAGCACCACATACCAACAAAGATGTTGTGTCCGCCGAGAACTAAAAAATAAATATTAAAAATTATCTCTCTCTCTCCTCTCTCACTCTCTCTTAAAAAAAAAAATACTCAAAGGGAGGCCTTTACAAGGGTTTAATCAAGTGGCTCCAACCTGTGAGTGTTGACTGTTGGGATTTTCAGAAATCAAGTTTTCTTAACCTTCCAGAGGACAGGGAGGCAGGACCCCAAGAACCTTGTCCCTCCGTGATGATGGTGCTGGCTCCTGGTGGTGKTAACTGCCATTACTGCCACTGTGGGCTGGGTCCAGGAAAGCAGAGCCAGGTCACACAAGGCCCTCCTAAGGCCAAAGGAGGAACCACCTGAGCCCTGAGAGAGGGAAAGGCGGAGCAGAGGAAGGATTTCCTACAACAGCCTGGAGGGCTTCCTGGTGAGGTGGGATTTGGTTGCACCTCAAGGGTAAAGGGCTTTATCAGAGAAGCATGGTCTCCAAGAACCCTGGGGCTCACGCTCTTTTTTTTGTTTGTTTGCTAATATAAGACCCCAAAGGATAAAATTTCAAGATGAAAACATAGGGGGAACACTTCAGAACATTAGTATAGGTGATAATTTTTTTGTATATTATCCCAAAAGCACATCCAACAAAAAACAAGACAGGCAAATGGAATTCCATCAACCTAAAACGCTTCTGCACAGCAAAGGAAATAATCCACAGTGAAGTGACAAACTATGGAATGGCAGAGAATATTTGCCAACTATCCATCTGACAGAGGGTTAATGTCTAGAATAGGTAAGGAACTTGAAAACCAACAACAATTTTAAAAAAAACCCTAAATAATCCAATTAAAAATGGACAAATGATCTGAATAGATACTTCTCCAAAAAACGAACTACAAATGTACAAGAAAAATGTTCAATATCAGTAGCTATCAGGGAAAAGCTAATCAAAATTATAATGAGATGGTATCTCACCCCTTTTAGAAGAGCTACTGTAAAAAAATTCTGGTGAAAATATGGAGAAAAAGAAACTCTCTGAGAGTTTAGTACGACCATTTAGAGAGAGCAATGGGAAGTTCTTCACAAAATTAARAACAGATCTACTATATGACCGAGCAATTCCACATCCACGTATACATCTAAAGGGAATGAAGTCAACATCCCCAAAAGACAGTTGCACACCCATGATTATACACAACAGGTAAGACATGAAATCAACCTAGATGCCCATCAACCATTGAATGGGACACTAGGATTTTTGTTAACCATCCTATCCTGTCCTTGACACTAAACATTTGTGAATGAATAAATCAAGTAAGAAATGGGGCTGGGAACACTGAGGCAGAGGGGTAGTAATGAATCAGCCACTGAGCTCTACCCCTGGAACCTCCTCTGTTGAGGCTCCTTGGATGTTCTCTTCAGGAACAGGGCCAGTGGGAAGGCTGTGCCCAGGGTGGGGGACAGACACTGACTATGAGTTGTCATTTAGTTAGGGGCAGGAAGTGCCCATCCCAACTCCCACCAGGCAGCGGGTGTCTGGCCTGTTCAAGGGCTTCCTTAGGGATGTCAACCAGATTGACATCAGAGGAACTGCTGGCCTGGCCTCTCCCCTGCTTCAGTCTGTGCTGGAACACAACCACAAAGAGGTGGTAGGAGGAAGTCCGAGCCACTTAGCCTCAACCACGGTGACAGAGAACTTAAGGGGCCAGTCAGGGTGGAGTGACTGAAAGGCCGACCCAGTTCTCAGCCAGGATCTGAAGTCTCCAGGCCACAAGTGCAAACCAAGGTGGCCACTTCCGCTAGGCT